TAATTTTGCCAGCAACTACTTAGAGCATCTAGAATACAGAAAAAAACAACAACAACAAAAAAAACTTAACAAACCCCTCAAAATATATAAGCCAATCAAAATAGGCAACTTAAATGAATACACTTCTCAGAAGTACAAATAATGAATAAATGAAAAAAGATTCAGTGGGCCAGCCAGACTAAAGCGCTTGCTTAGGCAGACACAGGTTCCAGGATTCAATCTCCAGTGTGCCTTGCCAGCCCTGCTGCTGGGGCACGCTGAGATGGCAACTGAGACTGGGCATGGTGGCGCACGCCTATAATCCCAGTGCTTGGAAGGCTGAAAACAGGAAGACCACTAGAAGTCCAATCAGTGTAGTGAGATCCTGTACTAAATACATTAAAAAAAAAAAAAAATTCAGCATCACTGGCCATTAGGGAACTTTAAATTAAAACAAAGCTGAGGTCTCACCTTAAATATAACCTCATCTTACTACAGAAAAAATAAAGGGTATCATCAAGAAATCAACAAATTCTGCCAAGGATTCAGGAAGAAAAAAGCCTTCCTATACTTCATTGAGAATGTAAACTACTATAGCCACAATGAAAATCAGTATAAAAAAAAAAAAGAAAATCAGTATGAAGATTCCTCAAAAAAAATAAAAACAGAAATTCCATCCAACCCAGCCATTTCTCTTGTAGGTACCTTCCTGAAGGAGTTAGATACAATGATACATGTATATTATGTACAGCAGCATTATGTACAGCATTAGCAACTCCTAATAGCTAAATCTCAGAAGCAGCCTCTATGTCCATCAGCAGATGAATGTGTTATTTATTCAAAATGGAGTACTAGTCTGCCATAAAGAAGGATAAACTTGAGAGTCATTTGTAGGAAATGGATGCACCCTGAGGTCATAATATTAGGTGAAATACATTAGAGACATAAGCTTAAACACCACATGGTTTCTCTCTCTCTCTCTCTCTCTCTCTCTCTCTCTCTCTCTCTCTCTCTCTCTCTCTTTTGCAGAACCGGCGATTGTACTCAGGCCCTTACACTTGCCAGGGAAGCACTTATTCCACTGAGCCATTTCCCTGACCCCACACATGGTTTCTCTTACATGAGAAATTCAAAGTATAAATGGGGAGCGAAAATAAAAGGTATATATAGTAATAGGAAACAAGGAGGTAGATCTTTTTCAAATGGGAAGGGGACCAAGAGATGGAAAGATGAGGGAGGAAAGAGAAAGTAAAGGAAGGAGATCAAAAAAAAAAGAAGGAGCTAGAATGTATTATGTACATGTATCAACTCTCTACGGTGAATGTAATCATTATGTACTGCAAACATGTACTAATAAAATAGAAAAAATTATTACAGAAAAAGATGCATTGCTATTCACCCCCTCAATACACGCCTCATATGACACACCTTTCTCCCACTGTACTTTTCACTTTCTGAAGCAGTTCTGGAAGTCCTCTTTCAAGTTTTACCAGGTGTAATCAAAAGTATGATGAATGCTGCTGTGGAGCACTAACAGAAACACAGGTTCATAAAAACACTACACTGTGTCCTTGTCCACCTTATTTACAAGGTCCCTGGCGCCATCCAACTTCTGGCTCTTTCCCAAAGTCAAAATGACCATAAAAGTTAAACATTTTGAATCAACTCAAGACACTGCCAGCCACAACAATGAAAGAGGACTTGCAGGCTGGGCATGGTGATGCACGCCTGTAATCCCAGCACTAAGGAGGCTGAAACAGGAGGACTGCTGAGTTCAAGGCCAAGCACACAACTGTAATCCCAGCACTTGGGAGGCTGTCTGATCTAAGTAGTGAGACCCTGTAGATCCTGTACTAAACTACATTTAAAAAACAAATAACAAAAAAGGAATCTTTCTGTTCTAAGAAAATGGGAGCAACTGTTCTAGAGCATTGTATATTTCATATATAATCAGTCCACATACAATGCTTCACTTTGTAAGAGCAAATTACCATAAGGATAAACAGACACCTTTTTCATGGTGGTTTTTAACACCTCATTGGCAATAAGAGAGAGAAAAGACTTAGGCATGAGCATTCACTGTTATGTAACTACCTAGCTATTGAACCATAAACAAAGTATGTCACTTTTACAAGCCTTCATTTCTTCTTAAAAAAAAAGAGTATAACTACCTGCCCTAACCACTTCCTACTCACTGCATTAACAACTATTAGAAGATAAAATCAGAATGAAGCTAAATTATACAGTATGATGTAACAACTACTATACAGCAGGATGCATGTGGTAATAGGTGAACTTTCTAATATAACAGAATTTAAGTGCCAACCTAAAGACTTAATTCCATAGGAAATAACCATTTAAACAGGTGTCGTGGCACATATCTGCAATACTAGCACTCTAGGAGACTGAGACAAAAGGATCCTAAATTCAAACTCAGCCTTGACAAGTTGTGTATGGACTTAGTGAGACTCTGTCTCTAAATACACACACACACACACACACACACACACACACACACACACACAAAAGGCTGAGAAGGGCCAGTGAGATAGGTCAGGGGACTAAGCGCCTGCTTAGGCAAAAGTACAGGGCCTGAGGTTCAATCCCTGGCACCAAGACCGGGCACAGTGGCACACACCTGTAATCCTAGCACTGGGGAGGCTAAAAGCAAGGGGGGGGGGGGTAAGGAAGTTGCACAGTACAAAGATCCTGGGTTCAATGTCAAGTACCACAAAAGCAAGAAAAGAAAAAAGGAGAGAGGGGCTGGGGGGATAGCTCAGTAGAATAAGTGCTTGCCTGGCAAGCACAAGGGCTTGAGTTCAATCCCCGGTTCCACAAAAAAAAAGGAGAGAGATTTTATTAGCTAGTTGTGGTAGTATATTCTTATAGTTCTACCGATCTAGAAGGTTGAAGCAGGAGGTTTACAATTCAAGTCCAACCTGCAAGAGTTAGCAATTTAGCAAAATCCTGTCTCAAAATAAAAAACAGCAAAAAGTGCAGGGGATATAGTACAGTACGAAGACCCTGAGTTCAATCCCAGTATGGGGGGAGGGGAGTCAAGAAAGGGGAATAGAGGGGGTTCAGGGTTCTGAGAGGGTGATACGTGTGTATAAGTATGTGAGAGCATGTATAACAGAACCAACCAGAGGCTTTATAATAGTCCAACTGAAGACAAACATCTGGGACTGCAATGGTGACTGAGGAATGAGCAGGTCTGTGAGCTGCAGAAGGGTGTGGAAAGCTGCACGTAAGGAGAAAAGTTGTATGTGAGGAAAGGAAAGCATCCGAGTCGATTTGTGAGATTCTTGTTGAAATAAGGCAGAAAAGGTCAAGAATAATAGGATGGACGTCACAAGGCAACAAGAGAAAGTAAGCTTGAAGGGAAGGAAGACATTTGCTTTGGCTTTGATTACAAACTTAGAAATGCTTATTACAGATGAACAGAGATAATATATCCCTTTACTTGTAATTTTTATAAAAATGGTAAAAATGAAACTGCTCACATGAAAACTTCAGAACTCAGTAATATTTAATCATATGTCCAATCTTTCATAACTATATCTGTTAATCTGAGCATCAGATTTGACAATAAAAAATTCATTACTAACCAGCTATTCTTGTTTTGAAAATCTGTGGGGCCGGGGAGATGGCTCAATAGGATAAGCACTTGACTGACAAACGCAAGGATATGAGTTCAATCCCCGGTTCCGTAAAAAAAAAGAAAGAAAAAGAAAATCTGTAACATATGTATTATGTTATCCTGTTTCTGTCTTTGTTTTGTTTTTCTTGCTTTTGTTTTTACTCTTCAAAATAAAATAAAATTACAACAAAAATGGAAGAAAAGAAAAAGAAAACTTTATTTATTTATTTATTTATTTATTTATTTATTTATTTATTTTCTGGAACCGGGGATTGAACTCAGGCCCTTGCGCTTGCCAGGGAAGCACTTATTCCACTGAGCCATCTCCCTGGCCCCAGAAAAAGAAAACTTTAGAACTCAAGGAGTCTATACATTTAATCCTCTGCCTTAAAACTATTTTTTTTATAACACAATACAGTAACTGACTTCCATCATATTCACTTTCTGTGGCCAAGAAAAGATCAAGCTGTGTTTGGCATATTCTGTTTAAAGTAGCAAAGAAATAAGACTTTTCTCACAATAACATATCTTACTATTTAACAAACTGAATTTCAGGTATCTGGGAACTATTTCTAGTATTAGGTTTATTTTCCAGAATACCTCAAGGGTAGTGTATTAGAGCTGGCATTAAGCCTCATCATTTTACCAAACAGATTTTACAAATCTCAAATTTTAACAATGAAGTATTTTACTGTAATTCTCTAAAAAGTACGTAATTCTAGTAACTTATTTATCCATCTTACTGAGCCAGGACCCTGGAAGTTATCCTAAGTCTCCCTTCCCCTGGCCTTCTATTAATCATTTACCACAGTTAAATAGCTCTGAAAAAAATGTTCCCAACCACTGTTGTCCTTTGTGCATTAAAATACTGACTAAACTGGCTATGCCTCCAAGGACAATGATTAGATTCTGGACTGATGTCTAGTGTCTAACATCTGGGAATGTACTCTGACCTCACAGGATCATAGGGCTGCAAAGACAGTTGAGCGACCCAAAGTCAAAATCACACACCTTTCAACATAGCTAACCTCTTTGCTATGTCATTCAACCACTGAATCTAGAAAAAAATGTGCAAGTTATTCAAAAATGCTAACTTCTACCACAATTCAGGAGGTCTGGTAGAATTCTATACCTTTCTCTGCTAAAAATCTATGGGTAAGAAATAATGCTAATTTCTTGGAAGCACAATGGAGCAAAGCCCTAGTCCCAATAAAGTTAAATGATTACATGATCTTGATGATATTATACATAAGACAATAAAAGAACAAACCTATCCACATATTTAAAGTGAATCATTAATACATTTTTATTTAGTCAAAAATCACTAAATTGGCATTCTGTGGTAGTCTAGAAATACAACTAAATTTTTAAAAGCAATTACCTGAGGAGAATCAAAAGGATATCGACTACTAAACTTAAATAGAAGTTGAAATTTTTCTCCTTCATATAAGGTACCTGGTGCACCTTCCATGTCTACAATCCACCTAGAAGAGAAAACACAAATTTAAAACTTAAAATAGAATGGGGAAAGAAGAAAAAATAAGAATTGCTGAAACGCAACTCTGCAGACACTAGCTGTATATGCGTAACAGCACACTTCATCCTCCCAACTCTTGGAGTGGGTTTTTAATCCCCCCTGCTCAGTCCTCATCTCTCATTTCAGGGTTGAATCACCAGACCAAGATCAGACAGTTAGCAAAAGACAGAGCAAAATCTTAACATCAGTCTGAAAAGACAAACCAACAAAATAAAAACCTACTCAGGTGTGTTGGCAAAGTGTATGCTGCATTTTTTCTACCAGATTTATGCTTTCTTGACTTTTTTCAAAAAATTATTTCTACAGGGCCGGGGAGATGGCTCAGTAGAATAAGTGCTTCCCTAGCACGCGCAAGGGTCTGAGTTCAAGCCCCGGTTCCACCAAAAAAAAAACTATTTCTACAGCAACTGAAACCTTTTATGGACAATGCCAAGCTAATCTGAACTGTCTTATGATGTCAGTGTTAGAAGCAACATAGAAAAGGGATATTAAGAAAGACTAAAAAGATACAGTGTTTTGTTTCGTTTTGTTTTGTTTTCTGGTCTCCCTTGTAGCCCAGGCTAGTCTCAAACTTACAGCCATTCTCCTGCCTCACCCTCCTGGGTGCTGGGGTTATGGGCATGTGCCACCATCCCAGCAAGAAAGACTACAAAGAATTATGTCTGTCAGATCTGTTTTCCCGGGCCGGGGAGATAGCTCAGTAGAAGAAGTGCTTGCCTGGCAAGTACGGGGTCCTGAATTCAATCCCCGGCACCGTAAAAAAAAAAAAAAAAATCTGTTTTCCCACGGGTTCTGTATTTTTTTAAAAAACTAAATGGGGCAAAGTAAGCTAAGTTGTCCTACTTACTCAATCCATTTCTTTTGAGGGCTAAAAGCAAGATTCTACACTGCCTTTCCTTTCCCTCTTACTGTTTCCATTGTTTAACACAATCCACTGGCTTGAACCACCACACACGACCGTCTCATTGGGTGGCAGGAGACAGTCCCATCAGGTGGCACAAGCTGCCTGATGAGACAGTCATACAGGTACAGCCTCATAATAAACATGTTTTTTTTTTTGTTGTTTTGTTTTTGGTTTTTTGTTTTTATTTATATTTTTGTGTGTGTGTGGCCAGCTCAGCCCACCAGGGGGCGGGGCTGGCTGGCATGTGGTGCTGGGGGATTGAACGCAGTCCCTGTGCTTTGTTTAGCTTAGCTTGTTCTAAGTAGGTGCTTTAGACCACTGAGCCATCTCACCAGCCCCTAAACATGTTAATAAGGCCAAAAATAGGGGCCGGGGAGATGGCTTAGTGGAATAAGGGCTTCCCTGGCAAGCTCAAGGGCCTGAGTTCAATCCCCGGTTCCACCAATAAATAAATAAATAAATAAATAAATAAATAAATAAAGCCCAAAATAGACTTGTACTGCATCTACTCAGGCTTATTTTGCTTTTATTTATAACCATCACAAATATAAATAAGTTTTTACTCATTCTGTACACTGCCTCTTGTTATTTTCTTCAAGAAGAAATAAATATGGCAAAGGTGATACACAGCTGTTTCTTTTCTTTTCTCTGTTTTTTCGCTTCTCTTCTCTTCTTTTGTACCAAGAATCAGACTGAAGACCTTGTGTTTGCCATGTAGGTACATTGTGCCACTGAACTATATCCCTGGCCCTACAGCTGCACTTACAAGAAAAAGTTTTAAACTGAAATCAATTAGGTTAGGGGTCAGGGACATGGCTCAGTAGAATAAGCGCTTGCCTGGCAAGCACAAGGGTCTGAGTTCATTCCCCAGTTCCGCAAAAAAAAAAAAAAAAAATAGTAAGTTAAGGTTAAGTAAAATATACACGGTTTGCAACTGTATAATGAAAATATTTACTTTTTAAATTTAATTTTTTTTTATTTTTTTGGTCTCTTTGAGAGTTTTGCTATGCAGTTCAGTCTCACCTTGAACTCACTTTGTAGCCCAAGCTGGCATCAAACTCACAGTGATTCTCCTTTCTCAGCCTCCTGAGTGCTGGGATTACAGGTGTACACTACCATGCCCAGCCAAAAGTACTTAGTTTTGCATTACAGATACCAGATGTATGTCAGGGAAATACAGAAAGTGATCTTTGTGTTCACCCACTTGGTTGACAAATGGCAAGGTATATACATGTCTATCAAATTCTCAATGGGTATGTTTTACTCACTTGCTCTATATTACATTTTTGGGCATTTATAATCTTTTTAATTAAATTTTTTTTATTTTTCCTATAGAACTAGCCCAATTCAGTACAATGTCACACAAAAAACTGCTTTTACAATTTTGGGAGGAAGTTGAAAATAATTCATCAAGTGATTCAAGCTACCAATGATGACTTGAATCATATAAACCAAAGAAGTTAAACATTAATAATAATTTATTATTGATATTAAATTAATTTATTTTATTAATATTTTCTTGTTAAATATTTTACAATATAATAAAATTTACATAAGATAATAGCCATACTCCTAAAAATAAAAATGGGGTTTAGACACCTACCTATGCTCTTTATGAAATTTAATTTTATATCAGGTAAAAATCACTTCCTAATTATAGGTCTGGGGGCCTGCCCCTTAGCTCAGTTCTTTAAGTGGCTGCTTCAACACAGCAGTTAGGCTCAGGTTGCTGTGGTTCGATCCCCACAACTCAAGCCAGCCAAACCTGCCCTGAAGGCATTTGGAGCAAATAAATAAATAAATAATAGCTAAGTAAAGATGTCATTTATCATGTAAAATCTGCACACTGCGAATGTTAATTTTTAACATATTATACTAATTAAAAAATGACATGTTCAGGGGCTGGGGAGATAGCTCAGTAGAATAAGTGCTTGCCTGGAAAGCACAAGGGCCTGAATTCAATCCCCAGTTCCAAAAAAATAAACAAATAAATAAAAGACATAATCATTCTAAAAAAAAAAAGAAAGAAAGAAAGAAAGAAAGAAAGAAAGAAAGAAAGAAAGACCACACTAAGCCAACCACTGTTAAAAGGGATTTTTTTTTTTTTTTTTATAAATTTCATTCTAAGGGCCGGGGAGATAGATCAGTAGAATAATCGCTTGCCTGGCAAGCACAAGGGCCTGAATTCAATCCCCAGCTCCATAAAAAACAAAACCAAAATTTCATTCTAATCATTTTGCAGCCTCCTACATCACTGATTTCTTTTTTTCCTGTACTTAGGACAGCGTCTATAGGGCCTCACTACTTAGCTCCAACTCATAGTAATTCTGTTTTCAGCTTCCCAAGTGCTGGGATTACAGGCACACACTACCATGCCCAGTCTCAATCGCCATCTCAGTGCGCCCCTTGGGCAGGGCTGGCATGGCACACCGGGGATCGAAGCCCAGCCACTGCTCTCTGCCTAAGCAGGCACTTTAGTTCACTGAACTATCAGGCTGGCCCCATCACTGATTCCTAAAGCAGAAATCTAGTTTTATTATGCATACACTTAAATTATATACTTACATTCAAACCAAACAGGAGATTGAACAGGCTACTCTCTAAATCAGTCTCAGGTTTTTTTTTTTTTTTTTTTTTTTTTTTTTTTTT